ACATTTACCTTAATACCTATCGTTCTTTCCAGCCAAAACCATTTTTAAGTGATGAATTGACGTTCTCTCAACCTATCAGCTTCACATCAAACGAGATTATTTCTTAGCATTACATACGAATGCATTTTGAAAATGGATCAAAAACTGTGACTAATTAACGATTCGGTGCGTACCGCTTTGTGACTCTACTACTGAATCGACTTCTGCCACAGGCTTGACTAGTGGCTCTGGGTGCGATGACTGAACGAGAGAAACAGTTTTGTTGCGAGTGTCCGGTGCAGTCCGGGTTGTCTTTGAACGGCCGATTAGCACAATTTTCACCCTGTACGGCAATGAATGCGTTCGGCACGGTGCGGCTTGTGTAGAGCGGTGAGATGAAGCGACGTGAGACGAGCTAAACTCATTCATTTCGCATTGATTTACAATGATCCTCGAGATCTGGTACTTATTCAGGATCATAACTTTAGAAGAATGTATCAACTGCTCTATTTCCGTGTCAGTAGCAATAAGTGCGGCAAACTTCAATCTGATGTCGTTTTTGGTGTTTGAATTTTTCTGAGATGAATATTGTTTCTTTGCAAAGAAAGAAAACGTCAAAAATTTCATCTACTTATTGCAGCATTGTGCAGGTTTTGATGGTATCGCTTCGAAATTTTGTTCAGCTGATGCATTCAACACTCTTTCCGAGTGAGCAACAATTTGTGATTGCTGCGACAACAATGTGAAATCACCATCCTTGAAAATGCACTTTCTTTCAGATTCGTTGTCAAAATTATTTTCTCGATCAAAATATTCATATGCCTTCAGCGAAACACTTTCATGAATTGCAAATTTGATGTGAGGAGAGTGATTTCAAGTGATACACTTGCCTTTGTGTAGTGGCGATCTGTTGCTTGATCAAAACACGATTCGAACGGTTCGTGTATTCTGTAACGGCTGCTTGGTCCGAAACGTAACTTTCGGATGTGCAATCCCGGTCCAAAACACTTTTCGACCGGGGCGATCGTACGTCGACAAGATTTGAACAGTTCCTGCCGGAGTCGACAAGCTGTTCGATACTTTTGATCTTGTTGACACGATCCAAATTGCGGTCCGCACGAGGCGGCGAATTGAGGAGCGTACATTTGCTGCGACATTTTGCTTGGTATTTCCGTGTTGAATTCTCAGATGTACCGAAGCTCTTAGTTATTGCGACTTATTTGACGCAAAGAGCTATGCGTCAAAATGCGTCTGATGGAGATCCCTGGAAATATGTTCATTATCATGAATATTTACATCAGTGGATTCGTTTTAGTGCGGAACCACAATTCGTTTCAGTTTGAACATCTGAATGATTTGAATTTAATTCAGCTTGAAAATTTCCTTCTGATGAGAAAAGGTTTAGAATAGTTTTTAGTCAGGATAAGATTTGA